GCCCCCCCCCTCACCCCTCCACCCACCTCTCGCTCGACGCAACGGCTGTTTTGGAGGAAAAAGTGGGCGGAGTTGGGTGTGTCGACTGGTCTCACAATCAGATTCAAATACTTTGGGAGGAGGGGGTCGTATAGGAGGATCCTCCTAAGGCTGGTGGTGGGGGGAGGACGCAAAATTTTTGGAAAAGTGCTAAGCGACAGTTGACCCTGAGCCCCACTGCTTGGCTGGCAAGCGAGACCTGCAGGTTCGGTTCCTGGTCAGTGCAACGAATTTTGCTCTTGCCCGCATTCTTGCGATCACAGAATTCCTTTTTCAAGATTTGAACAACTGTATTCATGACGATGACAGTGAAAAGATAGCGGAGCTCACCGATTGTTACGACATTGCCCAATTCAGGCCGCATTTCATTGTCAGAGATGGCGGTGGTGTTGTCTACGAGCAACATCTGGAGACCGGTTCGTTCCTCCTGAAGCTTAGAACGTCAGCTTGTAGGACGAAAGTTTGTAAAAGTTTACACAAAAACAAAAACAAGTAAAATTAATAAACAGGCAAAGGATTCACAAAGGCAGACCTGATAGAAAAGCAATGTGTGCCATCGCATGTCACTCAAGTGCTGGCGGTTCGGCAACACGGGTGACTCGATCAGCATCACGTCATTGCCCTCTTTATATGAAAATCGTATCCTGGAACGAGTACAGTGAGTCGAGGCCGCATAGGCTTGCAAGGTTAGCTTGGCCTGAGCGGGATGCGATCCCGAGAACAAGTAGGATGCGCGGCGCCCCTAGCCGCTATACCACCTTGGCTCAGAAAGTGGCGAATTCAAACGGAACTCTGAACTAACCTAGCGTTCACTAATTCAATGACGAGCGAGGTGTCTTTGTCGGCAGAATATGAGGCAAACAATAAGGCATTACCAATGAGAGTTTGAAATTTGAAAGACACTCGAAATGAACCCGTAAGTGACGAGGCCTAAAAGTACCAGCCATCGGTGCAAATTCAGAATAACTCCTCAAATATGCCACATCTTTTTGCTCCAAATAGCGCTATAAGGTCAAACTCACTACTCTATTTGACAGCACAGCATAACCAGTTGTGTTCACGGACGCGCATGACTGGTCGAGGCTTTGGTGGATAGGCGGCATAAGAATTCGCTTAAAGCGAGGGATTACGATAAGTTTGGACTGGGTTCATAGTGGAAGTGGAGATGCTGAATAATGCCCCAGTGGCGAAAAAAGCAAAGAAATCCGTCAAGAAGGCGCAAAATGGGACCCTTTCTTTTTGCCCGTTGACCTCCGATAATGGACGAGCTAGCAACCAATTAGGAGGTCGTTTGCACATGTTATGCTGATAGCCTCTATCATTTCAGCAAGCATCATGCTTTGATTGATCACGCATCCCATGAAAAGTTATAGGATACACTCTGGAAGTGGAATATCTCGTCACATTGGCAATCGAAGGGCGCTGCTGCTGGGGGCGGAGCACAGACCGTGGCGGGGCTCAGAAAGGAATGGCAAGCCTTGTACGCTGCAACTAGCGCACCTTTGACCACAAAAACGCAACATTTCGTTTCCTTGGGCCCCTGACTACTGCTTCCAATGGTGCATGTACTTCCACGCTGCATACGCACTTTATCGTAATCTCTCGCTTTAATGGACTTCTGTCAACATTTTCGCGCCATTTCTGGTGATGCCGGCGGAACACGGAACATTGGGGACCACACGCCACTGGAAATCTTTCTTGGACAGTCACTAGCAAAACAACTGGTTCATGATTTTAAAGCCTACTTGGAAGTAAGCGAAAAATCATCGGAGCCATTTGCTTCCTATACAAGTTTACGGAATGTTCATATTATACGCCCAGAGGTAAATATTTATTTAGTTGTTAATATTGCTTGAGGATTCCTCAACGGCACGTCGAGGATTTTCGCCTGATCCTTTACGTTCTCGCGCGCGGATATTCACTCTCGCCACCCGCGAGCCGTCTGTGCTCTCCGCGCGTACATTCACTATCGGCTCTACTCTCGCACAGCAGAGAGCGATGGTCGAGGAATTCCTCGACCGTTATTCACCCTGACTAGACTCCTTCGACCCCCCCCCGTCTTGCTGGAGCCTAAAGAGCGGATCAATACGCGTGGTTAATCCTACAACTCTGACGATTGGCCCCTCAACCCCAAATTCATTATAAGCGCGAACAAATAACTTCACACCGTTTTGCTTGCGCATGGTGATACAACTTCGCATGGGTTGAGCTAGGGTAGACATGATGGACTCAAAAGCGGTGCCTTCACCTAGACCCTGCTCCTCTTCTTTCTTTTTTATTAGATCTGTTCCCTAATTTTTTTCAAGTCCCCGATGATCCTCACATATTTCTCAGTCCTTTGCTCTCTTTGCTCAGCTTCCCTTCTCGTTTCGCCCGCTCCAACAAATCGATGCCATTGAACATCTGAAAATATTGTTCTTTTTTTCTGATCGTCCACAGTACTGTGAAAAAGTCAACCAAACAATGGGACTAAGGGTCCTACCATCCGCGAGACTGCTCCTCGAAACGGCTCTGCTAATGTGCCACTTCCCTTCCGAAGCCCTACACCACACGATATTTCATCGATTTTCAGGACGATCAGCATAGGCAAGAAATCTGAAAGGGAATCAAAAAAGTTGGCTTATCAAATTTCAAAGCGGTTTGTAACGCAGCTCTTCGAAGAAATTCAGAGATACCCACTGTTCTGTTGCCATTTTCCGTCGAAATACAGCAGAAGCTTTTCGCCTCGGCGCTTCAATCGCATAAAATGCCATCGATTGTCCGAAATTCCCGATCCCCAGTTGAATACCTGAAATGCTACCCATGATAATAAAACAGTAGACAATCAATCCAGCCTACTTGATATCTCGGGCTTATAAACTTCAAATTAACTGGCTCACATTCTCGCCAGACTCGTGCCTCAGAATAACTCCCAACGAGGTGCCATTCAAGTAAACAAGGAGTTGATTATTGGGATCGGAATTTGACTTCGTGCTCAACAGAACTCCGCGTGATGAGTCGGTCTGAAACGGTCAATCTATTAATCATGAATTTCAAAAAGTGGTTCGTGCTATCTAGTTTCCTGGGATGCGCCATGCATCCAGTTTCCGTTCAAAACAGTAGATGTATCGGGTCTCATCCGGTAAGAGGGGGCATTGCGGTGCACGGTCTGCTCTAATGCCAATTTGGCTCAAGGAGTCCTTTAAAGTTACGAGCTGCTATCAGCTTTTTTCCTATGTTATTTCTTCAGGTGTTTTGTGTAATGTATGTATTCTTGTACTAGATGACATTAACGTCTACGAAAAGTAATATTCACCTAGTCAGCAGGTCAGGACTAAGCCTAGGAGGGGGAG